GATTGGGGAGAGAGAGAAATGCAGGTTAGTAAATCTCATAAAGCTTGACGCATTCTGTAACAGACTTAACTTTCAAGGCATGCTGGGAGCACAAGAAAAGCCTTTCAGCTTTGCCTGCAAGGCAGAAGCAAGCCTCATGGGGGAAGAGATGCTGAGGCAGAAGGGGAGAGACACACTGGGGGGACTTTCCAGGCTGAATGTACCACATGGCCCAAGCTGGTGAAAAGCCAGTTCAGGGAGCTGGTGGTCACCTGGTACAGCCTCAGAGGGGAGGGGTAGGGAAGAATCTGGAGAGAGAACAGGGGTTCTTTCCTGCTGGGCCATGCATGGGGGCCTAGATTTTTATCTTGGAAGGAACGTGACCACTGGAGGGTTTTCCTGTAGAGATGAGTGACAGCAATCTCATCATCATCATAGCATCTGGTCTAATATCCCTTGAGCACATACTCTGCCTTGGGGTAGAAACTGTTCAGCCTTACTTCTGCTTTCTGAAAGATTTGCTCTTAAACCCTACACTTAAAAAAAAGATGGTTAGATGTTTTAATGTGTTTTTACTCTTTTTTACCCTTTATATGGGTCCTGAACCAGGCCAGACTTTGGGAAGAGAATACAGATTGGAGGAAGAGAAGCTGGAGACCAAGACGTAAGACAGGGGATGATTATGTTCCATGCTAATTGCAATTCCAGAAGGAAGGGGCTGCTATGTGTTCAATCTCTTCCAACTAATTATCTAAATTAAAATTGTTAGCATTGGAACCCTTCAATACGGTCTGTCTTCCCGACATTGTGACAGCTACTAAAAAGCAAGATGTTGTAAAGTTGACAGTCGCTTTCAAAAAACGTCATTAAAAACTTAGCTTAGGAGAGACTGAGCAAAGCGTTTTAACATTTGCAGGTCTCTGCTGCCTGATTGCTCTTGACCTCAAAAACTGTGCATGAAACTGCAGATTATCTGAGAAACCAGTTTGTGTCCTAGGACCTCAAGCATCTTGTTATGCTATGGGACCCACCAAGCAGGAAGAAGCTGGTTCATGTACCCTTTACTGCTTGACAATTTCTCTTTAGAAAAACAATTAGTAACCATCATCAATATTCATGATCCTGGTCCTTTTATAGCAATATTTTCCACACTGGTTTTCAGGCAATGTTAGATTGGATAATATAGTGGAGTGAACGAGCCAGGGAATATTTCAGGGGTTCACAGTTCATCCCAACAAACAGCTACACAATGATAGAGCTCTCATGTGGCATGACATGATAGAGATCTGTAATAGATGTCCTTCACTTTGGTGTACACAGCACTTTGAACAGGTAACACTAAATATCTACTTGTTATTGAATGGAAGTAGTAGTGTCCCACTGAAGATGTGTACAATTTGCTGGAGGGTATCAGCAAAATGGTACAGCTTAGCATTACTATCCTTAAATAGATATGTATATGGAGGGTGCCAAAAAAGGTATACACATTTTAAGAAAGGAGAAATGGTATTAAAGTTATAATGATGCATGCCAGCAATGTTTGTTATCTTGCATGTTGTATCTTATATCTCTTGTAATTGCAGGAGTCAAACGTGACTGAAGTACTACAATTTTAATACAGTTTTCTTCTTTCAAGATGTTTACATATGGCTGGGCAAATGCTCGCGCCTATAATCCTAGCATTCTAGGAGGCTAAGGTGGTTGGATCCCTTGACCTCAAGAGTTCAAAACCAACCTAAGCAAGAGTGAGACCTCATCTCTACTAAAAATAGAAAAAAAAATAGTCAGGTGTTATGGTGGGAGTCTGTAGTTCCAGCTACTTGGGACACAAAGGCAAAAGGATCACTAGAGCCCCGGAGTTTGATGTTGCTATGAACTAGGCTGACATGGCCCTCTTGTCTGAGCAATAGAGTGAGACACTGTCTCAAAAAAAAAAAAAAAGAGAAGATGGTTAGATGTTTTAATGTGTTTTTTACTCTTTTTACCCTTTATCTGGTACTCTCTGCTGCTCTTCCACTGAGTTAAACCCTATCTACATGAGCACTCAGGCAACCCTTCTAGGTAGCCTTCTGTAAGCCTTCAGTTTAGCTTTGACACGTACACTATTTCTGTGTCTGTGTAGTAGTCTGTCTCCTTCCATACCTGGTAAACTCTTTAAGGCCAGGAACTGATCCTTAGTTACCCCTACATTCCTAATGCCCAGCAGGGCTCCAAGCACATACAAGACCTTCAAAAAGCAAATTAATTCATGGTTAAATAAATTAAGTCATTTAAATACTTTCTTCCTAAACTACTGCAAGAGAAACAAGTGCTTCAAGAATCCTACAAAACTTGACCATTTTTGTAAAATATGATTTCTTTAATTGTACATTTATAATTGCAAAAAAATGTTATTATTATTTTTTTTTTTTTAGATAATTATTCAAGAAAAACTTTCTGTTGTCACTTAGGCACTTACAGAGTCTCCTTTACAGGGTATAGAATTTTTAACAGTTATAACACTTTAATTAGCTCTGATAAGAGGCACATGGGAATGAATTTGTTAAGGACACATGATATTTTAAAAGATATGGATGGAACTTAATGATGAGTTCTGGTTGCTGTATACTTAAGGAGTACCACTATCCTGATTTACCTCCATATAAATTACCCTCAGTTATTTCAACGAAGACAAGCCAATCCATAATGCAGTCTCAAGTGAGTGTTCTTGGAACTGAACTATGTTGACTGACTCATATAAATCAATACATATAATAAATAATAATGCTAAAACAAACTCTTGCTGGGTTGCAAGGGCATTGCATGCAACAATTCTAACCACTAAGGAGACTTTTCATGAAAGGCGTGAATAGCCCCTTACTATAGATGAGGAAACTAAGACTCAGAGGTTGCTGAAACTCCCTAAAATAGTATCTAAACAAAGATTTCAAAATCCAGGGCAGTCTCATTTAAAGCCTATGTCTTTTCTGCTACAATCCACTGCCCATCTACCACTGAGGAAGTTCTCAGGGATAATGGAAACTCGAAGCAGAGATCAAATACCAATGGAAAGTAACACTATCTCAGCTGCTGCCCTTGGGTGTTGGAAGGATGGTCAATATGCCAGAAATACTTTACCCTAGTTGTGAACATAAGAATATAAGAAGCCTACAACATATTTTACCCAATCCTGAGAACAAAGAGCCTTCCACAAAAAATAGTCTTTGCTTATATTTTATCAAGGAAAAAAAATGAGGCTGACTTATAATTTTGTATTGTTTCATATACATTATTTCATTCGAGGCAAATGTAAGGCTGAAGAGAAAGGTATTCCCCATGTAAGCTGAGGAAACTGGAGCTGAGAGTTAAGTGGCCTAAGTAGCTGAACTTGGAAGTAATAAGTGCCATGGCACAACCCCTAATAGTCATTTAACCACATTCTAGTAATCAACTGTTCTCATCTGTGTATATTATTTTCTTTCTTCATCTACCAAGTTTAAAAACATAAAGATTAAGGAGGATGGTGGAAGATCTTTCCACGTGTCACATGACTAAGTCAAAGTGACTCTAAGAGCCCCAACTTAAAGGATGGGAAAGGAAGTAATGTCTAATGGACGAGGTAAGGCAGTAATTCTCAGCATCTCCAATATTTCATAAACACTAAAATAAGAGGCGTTCCAGAGAATTCACCCACAACTGCAGCTCTTGTTGTGATAAAGCATCAGGAACAGTTGAATAAATTATTAATATGGCAGCATTCTCTGAATTGGCACAGGTCCCATGGAAAGAGTTATGTGCCAGTCTGCCAACTGCTCTGTTTTGCACGGAAACATAATACACAGTCCTAGGAGATACTCATGTTTATTGTACAAGGTGCTTTCCTCCTTAAAGTTATTTTTCCAAATTATTTCAAGAGTTAAGGAAAGAAACTACAATAAAATTACTAACTATAATTATTTTAGATATTAACTTATAAATTCCCTATTCTGAATTATGTGAAATCAAGGAGAGATCTGGAATTCAATAGTTTCCTCCTTGCTCCGGGCAATAGCATACGGCTGTGGGAGGTGGGTCGTGGGAGGTGGGTCTTGGCAGTTGCACCCTACCTGTCTGGCCCATCCATTACCACACAGACCTCACTTCACCCACTTCAAACATTCATGTGTTCCTGATGATTTGATCAAAGTAGTCACGAAGAAAATGTTGAGTCTTTCACAGCTACTTTCATTATAATTTTTCAAACTGTTATTGCATAAAGCTTAAAATAACAAGTATGTTATATTATGTGAAACAAGACACAGTTATAACAAAGAACCTAATCTAACAAAACTAATATATGTATTACAGAATTCTTAACAGTATATGAACTTGGAATATATTTTGATTCTAAAACCCAGCACTCCCATGAACATTTATTCAACACATTCCTGATATTCCTCTGGGAATATTGTTTTCAGAAGCAAAGGTATATGTAGATCTTGAATATACGAATAATGTTAATAGGGGCAACTCTTTATGCTCTGAAAGCTAATTTCATTTTAGAGAAACATATTATCTGAGCTCAAAACTATTTTTTAAGCCTCTATATCATCCATCCAGTCAGAAAGTCCAAGAAATTTCTTCATTTAAATTCTCCAAACTAGAGATCATTGCCTACCTCCCAATCCAACTTGCCCTTCCTACTATATCCCTTATTCTGGGATTGGCAACATGGCCCTAGAATCTACTGGATACAATATCTCTTCTAAAATTCTGGGTGAAGTATGAGGTGCCAGAAAACCACTTTGTGTCTATAGTCTTTTTATTTCTTATGGGAAATAATTCATTGAGTGTAGATAATAACCCCAACTCACTTGGAGCTTTAAGTCTAGCATAACTATTTTAGAACCTAGAATCTCATTATGCAAACTTCCAGAGAACATTTGCAAGTCTGGATATGCTTGAGAGAAGTCCAGATATGTTTGGGAGGAAAAAAAAAAAGCTCCATATAATTCCATGACTGTCTATGTGATAACTTGGATACACAGCCTTTTCAGTGGTACCTGTCTTTGGTTCTCTGTCTCCAGGCGCAGCCTGGCCTCCACACACCTCCGCGTCTCCAGGAAGGCTTGGCGCTGGGCCCGGTCTGACAGGTAACTGATGAAGATTCCAGCTGTGTTCATGCACATGAATAACACTGCCTGGGCCACAACCTAAAACAAACACAGTCTGGTCAGGTGGTTAAAACAAGATTAAAACAAGAGCTGTTTAGAGGCAAAGAGAAACAAAAAGAGAAGAAAAAATTCAAAGGTAAATCTTGATGTAGTAATCTGAATCCTTAATAGAATGTTAATAGAATCATGCCCTTCCTTCAAATCTCAGATCAAATGTCATCTTCCCAGAGAAGCCTTCTTTGACCACTCTATCTAATTTAAAGTTTCTTCCTTACCAACTGCTTGGGTTCATTTTTTTTCTTACTTTGACCTACCACTCCCCTTTAGTAGCTAAATTTTTGCCATCCAAAGGGCTGAATAATCAAGTGGGCAAAAGGGCAACAGACTAATTAAAAACAGGGATGGAATCCATTGAATGAATACATTGCTGTATTTTGACTTTGGTGTTCTCAGGTCCTCTTGGGTAGAATTCAAGTTTTATTTGTGAAATTATACTATAAATATTACATTTGTCAACTCATTTTCCTCTCCATTTCCATTATTCTATTCCTAAGCATCAAAATCTCCTTGCTAGACTCTTAAATTAAGCTTCCTATTTTCATATTTCCCTTCTTCCCAACTATCTCCACTAAAGAAAAGCAGGCAAGGGGTGTCCACACATGAAAGAAAAGAATAATACAGCATAAATATCTTTATTTTTATGACTTCAGACTGACAGGAAGGCCAGAGTTAGTGAAGTATGGGGAGTTACAATTCTAATAGAAAACTGGTGAACCAAAGAGGCAACTAACAGAGTTTGAAACAACTGTAGCTTCTAAAAATTGAGGGGAGAATTCCAAAAAGAAAAGAATCAGTGAGGAGAACCTGACATTCTTGTATAATCTGTTCCCGGAACCACACATGCCCAGGGCAGACAACAGATGAGTTAAGGATATAAGAACCGAACTAAGATTTGAACTGTAGTGTGAATTACAAAGACTTCATTTGATTGCAACCAGTTTAATCACCTGCTAAAATATAACAAACAATAATCATTATTTCCAAAGGAATGTAAGACAATCCAGAGTCCTAACCACATAGCATTTACAATGTCTTTAACTTAGTATAAAATTGTGTGACATAGAAATAAACGTTAAAATGTGATTCATACTAAAGAGAAAAAAAAATCAACAGACACACACTCTGATCTGACCCAGATGTTAGAATTAGTAGGTCAAAATTATAGTAGCCCTGGCAATTTTTCTCAGTGATGTAAAAGTAAATATCCTATCAATGAATGAAAAGCTAGGAAATGAGCCGAGTAATAGAAACCACAAACAAAAAGAAAAATTTCTAAGACAGAAAAATTCACTATTGATTACAAAATCATTCATTGGATGATATTAAGAGTAGAATGTAGCTGATAGATGAATCAATAAACTTAAAAATACCTCAATTAGAAAATACTCATTCTGAAGAAAAAAGGTAAAAAAGATGGGAAAAAAGGTTTTAGTGATTTGATAATATTGAAATATTGAATGGCCTATCATACATATATTAGATTTCTCTGAAGGAAAGGAAAGAGAGAACAAACACAAATAATTTCATATTTAATGGAAATTTTGTAAGTTCATGAAGATTCACATTTCCAGGTACAAAAAGCTCAGCAAATCTGACACAGGATAAATGTAATGATACCTAGGCACATCATAGTCAAAATACTAAAATCCAAAGAAAATCTTGGACAGAAAGAAGGAAAAATGTTATGAGATATATCCTCACTTATGATAAAATGTTTGGGTTGGATAAAAATAAATAAACTACATGCTGCTTATTAGAGGTATTTCTAAAATATATTGATACAAAAAACTTGAAAGTCAAAATATCATTACTAGAGATAGAGTTATTGTATAATGATAAAAGATTTAAACACTGGGAAGATATAAAAATTCTGAACTTGGGGCAGAGCCTGTGGCTCAAAGGAGTAGGGCGCTGGCCCTATATGCTGGAGGTGGCAGGTTCAAACCCAGCCCCAGGCAAAAACTGCAAAATAAAAAAAATTCTGAACTTGGATGTGTTTAGCAACATAATCCCAAATATACAATGAAAAATATTAAATAAAACTGTGCAATTATTTATAAATCTACAGTCATAGTGGTCTATTTTAACATAATTTTCAGCAGTTAATATATCAAACATTATTTATTTTTATTAAATCATAGCTGTGTACATTAATGCAATCATGGGGTATGATGTGCTGGTTTTACATACAATTTGAAATGCTTTCATCAAACTGGTCAACATAGCCTTCATGGCATTTTCTTAGTTATTGTGTTAAGACATTTATATTCTACACCTCGTAAATTTTACATGTACCTTTGTAAGATGCACCATGGATGTGGTCCCACCCCATTACTCTCTCTCCACCCATCCTCCCCCCCTTCTCCCCTTTCCCCATCTTCTTAGGTTATAATCGGGTTATAGCTTTCATAAGAAAGCTATAAATTGGTTTCACCGTAAGACTGAGTACATTGGATACTTTTTATTCCATTCTTGAGATACTTTGCTAAGAAGAATATGTTCTAGCTTCATCCATATAAACATGTAAGAGGTAAAGTCTCCATCTTTATTCAAGGCTGCATAATATTCCATGGTGTAGAAGACCGAAAATCACATTATAACAAAGATATATGTACCAGAATATTTATTGCAGCCCAATTCATAATTGCTAAGTCATGGAAGAAGCCCAAGTGCCCACTGACCCATGAATGTTTCAAGAAATTGTGGTGTATGTACAGCATGGAATATCAAGCAAACTTTTAAAAATAAGCTAAGATGATATGAATAGCTCATACAATTAATGTTGATATGGAACAGAGTCTCCAACACCTGGGTAGTACATATTGAAAAATTTTAAGCCCATATTGAAAATTTGTAAAATATGACCTTAAGAAAGAACTTGAAGCTAATCACAGCATATTTCCAAGAAGTAGTAGTACCTAACCAAAGTCAATGGGACTACACTGAAATCAAGTTACAAAGCAATATAAAAAGATAGCTAGTAAGGTGTTGTGCATTTGGAAATCAGAAATATTTCTAAAAAACAAATGTATGTAATCATATATTATAATTAGAAATATGTAAAATCACAAATTATGAAAAAATAACTAAATAAACTTAGTAGACCTCACAGAATAATTTATAGTTATAAGTTCTTTGTTTACAAAAAAGAAGCATTAAAATGCATGTTAGCCATTCAACTCAAGGATTTCGGAAAAAAGGCAAAAAGCAAAAAAACCCAACCAACCAAACAAACAAAAACAACAACAACCAAAAATGCAGAATATGTAGAAGAGAAAAATAATAAAATAGAAATAGTAATTAATGAAATAAAAATAAAGGATGAAGTGGGTAAAAGGATCAATAAAGTTAAAAAATTATCTTCTGAAAAGAGTATAAAAGAAACATTTGTTATATATTTAATAAAGAATAAAAGAGAAAAGATGCATATTTTAAAAGAGAAATTTTACAGTCAAAAATATTGCAGAAATTAATAGAGAATACAGAGATATTATGAAATTTAATTCTAATAAAAATATTAAAAGGAAATGAGAGATTTCTGAAGATACATCTCTAACATGGCTGACTCAAGAAGGGAGAAAAATGAAATAAATGGAATTATAATTAAAAATATTTACCCAAGGAAAGCAGCAAACCCAAATGGTTTCATCAAAGTATTCTACACACAATTATGGAAGAAATAATTTAAATTTTTTGTAATCTGCTCCAGACAATAGAAAATAGAGAAGATGCCATACTTAGTTTATAAGGCAGACATAACATTTATACTAAAACAGTAGTAACTAAATTTAGTTAAATTACAGGAAAATCTCACTTATGAACTTATGGAAAGAAATTTCTATGCAAAATTGAGCAAACTGCAGACATCAATGTATAGAGAAGATAATTTATTTTAACTACATTAAATTTTCCCAGGTATAAGAATGTACCTTAACACTATCAAATAATAATATGACTCATCATATCTATGGCTTTAAAAAACATCATTACCTCATTATATGAGGTAAATTCACTAGTCTTTCACTTAAATTTTATAAGATTAGAAGTAAGCTTTCTTTTTTTTTTTTTTTTTGAAGTTTTTGGCCAGGGCTGGGTTTGAACCCACCATCTCCGGCATTTGGGGCTGGTGCTGTACTCCTTTGAGCCACAGGAGCCACCCCAGAAGTAAACTTTCTTAATCACTATATAGAAAAATCAACAGCAACATAAAAAACCCTTAAAGGAAACATTCTGCTCAATGGTAAAACTTTGAACAGAATACTGGTTATGAACAAATGTATTCAATATCATTCTCAAGTCCTAGCCATCTCAATAGGACAGAAAAAGAGAGACCAAAAGAAAATAAAAGTAATAAAGTTTGGAAAAGAAGAAATATACTTTTATTACTTGTGAATCCTATTAAATTATCAATTTTTGATTACTAACAATTTCATAGGTTAAAAATGACATCATGGGGATGTGGAGTAAGATGGCAGACTAGAGACATCTTTTTGCCAGCTACTCCTGTTGTAAGAGGGGAAAGTGGATATCAGCCACCTCTGGCTTGGGGAATCTGCACAGAAGCATCACTCCAGAGGCACAGTGAAGTAGTAGTAGACTTGAGGAGCCAAGCAGGAGGTCTGGAGCTGAAGAAAACCAACATGGAAAGCAGATGCTTGGTATGAGCAGAGGCTGGCTGGTTGGCCAGCTCTCCTGTGGAGATCTAGGGATGGGAAAGGTCTGTCCTGCATTATTTTAATTTTGGACTGGGCTGCTTGCTGGAACAGTAAGTAGACTTGAACATCAGGTGGCTGGGGTTGAATTCCAGGTGGGGTGGTTCTCCCACCAGCTTGGCTGCTGGTGAAGTGTCACCATTATAAGAACACCAAAAGCATTGAAGGAATAACCTGCAGGGTCCTAGTGCCTGGACTGCTCTAGTGTGTGCTGAGCTTGAGTGGCCATCCTTGCCCTGAACTGAGTGTGCCCTGCACTTCCTAAGA